GACTCTTGTAAATTTATCTAACTCATATCCCAAACTAGGATAATTAATGATGTAAATGATTCCCATTCAAATTGTCGTAGTGCCTATAACTGGGAAGCATATAGTTATCTTTCATGACTCCTGAGTTCCAGCACTGATATTTCCTGCTTTTGTGATCTGGAACATGTCAATTTTACCTTTTTATTCCTTCATTTCTCCATCTATAAAGGGGGATAACAATAGCACCTACCTTCATACAAAACTCTTACCACAGTTCTGGGCATAGTGACAGGCTTGATGAATATTGTCTAGCATTATTACTGTTTTTATAATTATTATTTTTATTTTCACCATCATCATTCAGACTATCTCAAAGTTCATTGCCAGCTATGAACCTGGCATAGGTACACATGGGTATGTACTATGGGTACATACTGGGAACGTCTTTCTCTCTTTTGTAAAATGAAGTGATTGGGTTAGATAATCTCCAAGATCTCCCAAAGTTATAAAATCTGATATTCTTTTTAGTAGAGCTCTAAAACAAATTTCTTCAACTGAAGTACTCCAGGCTTAACTGTTGAACTAATCAGTAATGTTTAGGAAAATTTTTTTTTCCCAAAGAAGGGAAAAATATAATAAACATATTAGTGAACCTGGGAGACTCTCATATATTAAATATCACGTAATCATTAGTATTTAAGGACATTAATTTAAATCTCCTGAAACCCAGTTTGGCACAGTAGAGTTCAATACCTAACATACGATATACAACCACAGGCATTTTCTAACTTTCCACTTCCTCTAAGTAAGTGGTTCTTACAGTGCTGTCTCCAGACCAGCAGCATTACTATCACCTGAGTACTTGTTGGAAATATAAGTTCCAGGGTCTCATTCCAGACCTGCTGGATCAGAGACTCTTGGGGTGGAATCCAGCAGTCTGTGTTTTATTAAACCCTTGCAGTGATTCTAATGATGCTGAATACTGAGAACCACTTTGTAAGTGAAGAATGGAAGAGAAAGCTCTGTTTCTGATAAACGTTTACTGAAGCAGTTGAAAGTGTAATTGAGTGTGGCCTTGAATCTGGCCTTAGATGACGTCAAAGAGAAAGGTCTGCTAGAAATAATTAAAAGTCAAGTAACCAATCAATTGGCTCAAAATGGGGCTAAAAAGTCACTCTCAATTATTCCCTGCAGGGAAGTAAGGTACTCAGAAGGTTAAAGAAAAGTCCAATAAAATTACCAGAGAATATCAGAGTAATTGTAGCGAGGGAGCAGTCTACATGAGAACACACAACGTTCCGTCTTCTTGCTTAGTGTAGAGAACCACACATTCTCTATGCTGTCTACTAGATGAAAGAAATTAAGTATTACTCTTTATACTTTGTGATAATAAAATAAAAACAAAACATTAGAACTCAATACCCTGATTAATGTTGGTCTACATTAAATGTGGAAGGAAATATTTAATGATCTGTGTCCATCTATTTATCTAGCACAACTGAAACATCTTCATTAGATGCTGCATTGAGACAATCTTTTAACAGGCTAATAACCACAAGCATTTAAACAATTTATAAAGGCAAGAAGAGAAAATCAATGTCAGAGCGATAGGAAAAGAGATGACTTTATTTGTCTCAATGTCCTCACTATCATCTATGTATCAACCCTAGACCACTTTCTTAAGTCCAAAATTTCAAATTGCCTCCTAGATGTCAATTTCAAGAAAATAAAAACCGAGTATATCCAATCAGGTTCCATAGACTATGTCCCATAGTCTCTATCCCAGTGAATGCTGTTAACTTTTCCCAGGTATATATCCTTGAACACCCTTCCTCCTTCTTCTTCAGGCCCTTCTCCTGCCCCCTTATGCCCTCTACCCACTAATAGTTTGTATTTACCAAATCCAGTCAGTAGAGTTCATCATTACCTGAGGATTTATTTCTCCTTCATCTTTTCCATTGTGATGATCTTTTTTTCATATCCCCGTGATATTTTCCTGTTTCTTTTCATAACTAGATCTTAAGACTCCAAAGAACAGGGACAATGTCTGCTCCCTAGCGCCCAGGACAACAACACCAGGCAGAGTAGGCGTATGCAAATTATAAATTGTTCCCTGGTGAATGTACACAAACTAATCTGAAAATCTCATGGCCCCTATGACTTCAGGATGCCATCACACACTGCATCTTGTTCCAGAGAAAGAAATTAATCTGTGAAAAACTTACAAAAGAAGAATATATTTCCTAATCCACACCTGTCACATTTTAAGTTCTTAAGTGTTCTAATAATCACATTTGTATAATTTTTATATTATATCCTCTTTCTTGACCCATTTTAGGACAAATTTATCTTTTTTTTTTTTTTTTTTTTTTTTTTTTTTTTTTTTTGCCTAGTTGGATACTATTGTTTTCAATAGTATTAACATTTGGCTTTAGGGACCTCAACAGAATTAATGGCAATGTGTTCCAGAGTCTTCAGGGGGATAACCATGAGACTAGAAATTAGACAGATTATAATGATACACAAAATGGCTTACAACAATCATAAGAATCATCTAAGCAATCACAATTTATAAGAGAAAGGATTCCTGTCAAGAACATATTTGCTGCATACAACACACTGATTTATGGAGGCTGTTATTCCAAAAGATGTTGGCTGTACCTAAGAGATGTAGTATCTAAGTAAATCACAGATAAACAGCCAAGCTCTAAAGGGATTTACTATCCCCAACCCCCCAGCCTGGACAACATCTTTTGCGTGCTACATTGTATACATTTTATGTTCTCACAACCTCACTTTCATTGTACAATGTACCAGGAACTCTAGGGGTAGGTTGGATTTGCTCTTTCAAAATTACAAAGTTCAAACAAAAAGATACAATTTTTTTGTTTATTCTCAGTGCCTTCACCCAGGAGGAATTCTAGAATGTACAAATAGAAAAGGAAAATTCTTGGCCAGCAAACAGATACAAGAGAAATCTTCCAGAAACACATGGCCTGGGATATTTCTGACTCCTGGCACACTGCAAACCTTTACTGCCTTTTGTTAATAATCAGGGTTCAGATCAAGTGCCTGGAAGGAGCCAGGACCTACTTGTGAGACTAGTTTAGCTCAGAAGTTGAATATCTTCCAACAAACACTCTCATAATAGCAGATATCTTCTCCAGACACCAAATTACTCTGGCCAGAACAAATGTCATTTGCTAAAGAGACACTGAAATGTATGGCCAGTGTTCTCTAAAAAACAGCACTAAGGTTATTTAGTAATAAATGTAAAGAATGCATTTAAGGACAATTTTGTTCAATAGATTTGTTGCAATTTACAATGATCCAAAAAAAAAAAAAAGTTAAACCATTAAAAAAAAAAAAAAAAAAAAAAAAAAAAAAAAGATCCCCAGACCACCGTCGTGACACCTCTCTTATGGTCGCCTATATAGACCAAAAACAAGAGGGTGTACAATATAAGGCCATTGTTATTAGAAACAATAGGCTATGATTGCAGAAGGAATTTCAAAATCACAGGGTGACTGAAGAAGTAGCATCTGAACTTACACAGATGAAAACAGACTTCTACTCACTCCTAGTTGTGTCCTGCACTCTCTTAGTGGTAAAAACCTGGGATATAACATATATCTTTAGGTGTTACCATTACCTGCCCACTTCTGTCCAGGTGAAAGGACAGACGAAACAAGTGAATTTTCTACCAGTAAAATGTTAGCAGTATGATGGAAAGGGAACACACAAACAATTGGATATAAAACAGACAACAAAAAGCCAGTAACCCAACAAGCCGAGAAGTATTGTCCTCGTGGAGTGTGGCTTTATGAAGCTTAGGTTCAGCCGAGGGGAAGTGGTGGGCATGCATAAAAACGGACCATAGAACACAGCGAGACCTTTTTCCAGCCGTGAAGTTTTCTACAAATAATGGCGAGCATCCTGATAAAAGTCCTCCAGGAGAGCAGAAGTAACAGTAGCCACAGCAGAACTTGCTTTAAAAGAATGTAACATCTCCTAACAGTCTATCTTTGGCAGAGCTTGTGCATTATCCAATACGGCAGAAATCGCTAGAGTGTAATAACACATGTTTTAAGATTTTACTTTAAAAGACACATTTTGAGTCACTACAGTTTGTGCAATGTCTTTGCAATTAGTCTATTAGACTTGATGCAGGGAAGTGAAGAGTTCAGTGTGAGAGGAAAAAGGATCAAACAGACAATTCAGATACAGGGCAGTGACAAAGGGAAGAATCTAGACAGAGAAAAAGCAGATTTCTTGTTTCTGTCCATGATTTCTTCACTTCCTTAGCTGTTAAAACAAACAAACAAACAAACAAAAACAAAACCCAAACAACAAAAAAATAGGAAGATAGGGAAAAAAACACCCCACAAATTGTATGTAGAATTGTGTGCCTTTTTAGTTTATTTTCTACTGATGACACTAAGATATAGCTACACTTTGGCATTGGTAAATTTAATACAGTTAAGCGTATAGTCAGAGTTTAGTTATTTTCTAACAATCCTTTTTTTTTTAATTTGCCTCAATTTAAAAGAATCCACTAGAGTTTGCTAATGAACAGTATCAAAATTAAATGATAGAATTCACTTTTGCAGTAAGATGCAGAGTCCCAGAATAGGCAAACAAATTAAACAGGAAAAGAGCAAAAAGAATTCAGCCGGTTGCTGTAGAAAGTTGAAAAATGAGAGAGGAAAAATAGCCACACACACAGAGTGAGCCCCAACAGCATTCTAGGCTGAGCATTACATAGAAATGTTTCCAGTGTAAGGGAAGCCAACACAGGCCATCTTGTTTTGCTTTTGTTCTCACTCAAGGTCTGATTTGCCAAGCAGGGGGTGCAGGTGCTGGTGACTGTTGGTGGGTAGTAAGTGTGTATCTACCAGTAATTGTCTATCACAATAGTTCTGACTTCAATTCTTGTAATTCTTAAAATCTGGGGAGAATTTTAACATCCACAGAAACCTTCTGCAAGTAAAATATATTAAAAATGGTGCTTTTGCACATACCTGTTTTTCTCCACTGGGCTTTTTGTGATTCAGTAACAGCTCAACAGCTCCAACAACTTCTTTCCTAATAGCGTGTAATAGAGCATCTCCAACATAGACATTAAAGCTTAAAAGTAGTTCGATGAGCTCCAAGTTCTCATTTTCAATTGCAATGAGGAGAGCAGTTCTTCCAAGAGGATCAATGCAATTAATATTGATTTTAAAATAAATTTCAGCTTCCTCCAGGGATTTCTTGACACTTGCATAATCTCCCTTTTCCACAGCATTTAAGTAGGCTTTTTCTGATGGTGAGAGTTCGGATTCCGCCCGGACTATCCTTAGAGGGATGCGATCTCTGTAGGGGGCATTCACATTTCTTTTGTAATAGAACTGAGCCATGTTTCATGCCATGCTATTTCCTTGTCTCTGAAAGTGCAAACAGAACCCCAAAAAACACAAGGATTAGTGCTAATACCCTTTTTAATCAGTATGTGTCACACTTAACAACTGACTGTAATGCCAATAACAACAATTATACCATCATTCTATAATCGATTTTTTTTCTCCTTAAACAATGCAAATAGGCTTAATAATTATTCAGTTATCTAGAAATGCAAGTTACAAAGTCCTAGTCTAAAAGGAATAAAAAATTGGAAAAGTTACTTTAAAAGTGGCATCTGTCAGAGGAGGTACCTGTAATTTTTGGAAATTATTTACAAAATTTATCGTAAATATATACAGTTTTTAACAGAGAACCCTGAAACTTAAAGGTTGTATCTTTGAGGTCCTAAAAAGGAACCAGGGATATTCAAATGTATCATTCACTATCAATTTTGCTAAACATATAGATGCTATTGAAATTATGAAATATCACTATCTTAGTAAAATGCTTTTCATTTGTAATGTATCTATTCTTAATGTCATTAAGTACTGACATCAAAGTTAATATGAATTGATGATATCAATATCAATGAAATATACTGAGCCTGATGAGTATAACTGTTTATCCCCTTTGTAAGTGAATTCACTTGAGGGGAATGAATGTGTATTGATGACATTAATGATCAAGGTGAGTCTAAGCAATTTCCCAAACGAAGAATTTAGAAATGTTCATGTAGACAAAGTTTATTATGAAAATGCTATTTTCTTAATTCTATTACCTTGATATCATGAAACAATAAACCACAAGACAGAAATATTTTCATTATATAATGTATTATTTGGAAGTTATAGTAAAGATACAGTTGAAGATGAAGGAATTATTTTTAATAAATAAAAGATCATCTTAAGATAGATTAACAAGAACGAAGTCACTAGCAATTATATTGATTTAGTATTATCCTACTGATACAAACTTGCAGAAAAATCTATTATGTTTTTTAAAATTTTTTATTGCTATTAGCTCCTGATTTCATATTTATGATCTGAACTATTTTATTATTCTATGTCATTTATATTCAACCTACATGTTTATTTACATACATTTACTATTAAATTAAAATTAATGGGGGATTCTGGGTACCTGAACATGCATAGTCATCTTAATTGATCTTTTTAGACCTAATCATTTTATGAGTAAATTAACCTGATTTGAATAATACTTTAAAGGTAGATTAAACATGTATTGAATGAGCAAATGTGATTACATTTAATGGAATGTTTTCAATTTGGGAAATTATGCATCATTTGCATGCTACCTCAATTTAATAGGAATTTCCGTTATCAAGTAGTTAAGTTTCACTTTTTGATGTTTCAGATTATTAATCACAATTTCTCAAATATTGAGGTTCAGCATATAATACACACAACTTTTATTTCCTAATTTGTTCCTTTCTGACATTAGGTTTAGTATCTTATTAAGGCCCTTTCATAGATGAAGCAAATGTAAGAATCTCATAAGCCAGAATATTTTTCTCAAATATTTCACATTTTATTAGCCTTGGTGTTTTAAATGTATAATGACCAACTACACAGCATACTATACACTCACTTCTGCAATTTCAGACAGGGGGTATTGTGAGTTCTTTAAATGGTAATGTTAATTTTTCAGAGGAAAATTTTCAACTCTATTACTTTTAGGTGTGCAAATTATAATCAAGCTTCAAGCTTGGTATTTGGAGGTCCTCCAGTATTTGGAGATGTTTTAACTCACTAGAATCATGTGATAGAATTTATAAATTTATATTATGGGATAACAAGGACAATTTAATATTCTAGCATAAATAAAACTACAATAAACCAAGATTATTACGATCCTACATATCTCATTATAACTTTCTGATCCCAAATGCCAGCACTTCCCTCCCAATCCATGTTAGCATCAGTAAGAGTGTGTGGAATCAATGTCAATGGTTTTCACATTGTAATTTTACCAGGACTACAACATAAATGCTTCATAATGATAATAAGTGGCACTAATATTCCATTTCAATGCTCACTTTGTTTATTTGCTCACTTTGTTCTTACTCCAGGCTCTTGGAAAAATACATAAACATTCCTTTTTAGAACTGAGTTCAAGCTTTGCCACCAATAGTTGTTTTGCTTAAGACTAATGTTTCAAAGTAACTTACCGAAAGTACAGTTTAAAAGAAGAGATGAAAATACACACACACACACACACACACACACACACACACTTTGCAGAACTTTGTCTGAATTGTTACTCAGTCAAGATTAAAAATCACCCTAGAGAATGGAATATTTTTATTTTATTTTATTGCATTTACTCTATTTTGTTAGTGATGATATCAAATAATTAGATAGTGGAGGGGCCTGGGTGGCTTAACAGCGAATGACTCTTGATTTGGACTCAGGTCATCTCAAGGTTCGTGCGATCGAACCCTGCATCAGGCTCTGTGCTGACAGCATAGAGCTTGTTTGGGATTCTCTCTCTCTGCCCCTTTCTTTGTATCTCTCAAAATAAATAAATAAACATTACCAAAAAGAATTAGATAGTAAATAGCATTTGACTTCTCGCTTTTAAAGCACATAACTACCTCCCAAAGCTCAGGATGTCAGTGACAATGAAGAGACTGGTGAACAACAGAGAAGGTACTGGAGAAGTTGGGGGAGAGGAGAACAGATAATGAGAAATTAGATTTATTAAAATCTATTTCATTTAATCCAGATAACTGCCATAAATGTAAACTCCATAAGGACGGGTTAAGACATGATACTGCCCTGAAAGGAAGATGTATTCTAGTGAATGAACACTGTGTTCAAAATGTGAACTAGGTATGAGACGTTACATTCGGTTACCTGTTTCTCCATCCGTAAAGGGGGGCAAACAACACTATCAAAGGAATGAGTAAGAAGAATCAGTGTCGGCGCTGAAAAAGATCTATTAACAGTATTGTCGTCTTTTAGTTTCTTGGGTTTGAAACAAATATAAGACCTCACATTGAGAAAGACAGATGGAATTTAAATATATTAAAATTTTAAATACATTCAATAAATGAAATTTAATGATTTACAATGAGTTGCAAAACACACACACATAAAACAATTCTGGTTAAGACTTTAGAAGAGTGAGGAAGATTATATAACTTTTCATTACGTAGACTTTAGACAAGTCTTGGATTATTTGAGTTGCAGGGATACTAATAAAAGGACAAAAATCAAGTTTAACTTTTGGAAACTGTGATAGACGGATGTAACAGTGAGTGTAAGGTGCTGATAAGGCTGATGGAGTTCCTGAATTGACACATTTATCAGCAACTATGGAATTGCTACTGGATAGAAAGTCTGTAAAAGAACAGGAGGCTCAGTACAGCAAAGATCCTGACCTAAAGTGTGTGAATCAATGCCTGTTCCTGGTCTTGAACTTTCAGAACGAACTTTCTGGAAAGGAGAAGATGTTTTCCCCCATGAAATCACAGAACTGAACAGATTCTTTGATTTCAATGCCCCCTGTAGAACACACAATCTAGAAGTGAAATGAATGTTTCATTGTTATGTTTCAAAGACTCAGAAGAGAGATGGGAAGTGATGGGAAAAAACCCCTCAAATTCTGCAATGTGAATTTTTAATTAACTGAAATTTTATTTTCTGTAAATGCGTTGGGAATTAAAACCATCAAAAAGGTAGACTGTCATCAATCCCAAGAGAAATTAAAAAAATTGTCACTAGATATGAGAACCACAATTACCTAAGCAACATAATGATATACAGAAAAATAAAAGTTCCAATATTTACATGGATCAAAAAGCATATTCCCTGGAGGATGGACTTAGTTGCTTGGTGGAAAGAACAGTGCGCTCCCAAACAACACAAGGGAAAGAAAATATGCAGAATACAGAAATCTCCACTCTTGAGCAGAAATCATTAAAGTTAAAAGAAAAGTTCCATATATA